GAATCGTCCCTAATTACTAGAAAGTCGACCGATATCTTGTTCGATAAATCTTGAATATAAGTACCAGGAATGGACCGGATAGAGAAAAAAGTCGAAAAAATTCCTGATAGCAGCAGGCGAGAATTTTCCTTTATTTCTCTTTCTTTTTTATTGCTATAAATGTTGAGAATTTTGGAAATCGACAAGAAAGATTTCTTCCTTTTATGGCATCTTCAGAAAAGGAATCTTCCTTTTCCTTTGAAGCCTCCAGTTTCACTCACCTTCTTTCTAAAAAAAGTCGTGTCGGGGTTCGGAAAGGAAAATTTATCGGATGGGTTTCGGGTCAAAAAAAGAACCTGTCCGAGTAACCCCGTCCATCACTGTATGTACATATATAGGGATACCGTTAATACTAGAGTAAGTCGAGTACCGAGTAATTGGGGAAAAGCCGAGTTCGAGTAATGCCGAGTTTGAAAACCCCGAGTTCGAGTACGAGTTCAACATTTTAGGCCGAGTTCGAGTACGAGTAATCCGAGTATTAGGATTTCGAGTTCCGAGCCCGAGTAAATGCGAAAAAAACACGAGCGATCGAGTCGAGTATACTCGACTCGCTCGAACTCGACTTACTCTAGTTAATCCGTCACCATCGGGACACATTTGAGCCGACGTATGAATTAAAGTGACGCTTGGTTGGGGAAATTTCAATATATGTATTGGGTGGAGGGATTAGTTGGATCCACCATATTATTTAAATAATTGTAAAATAATAATTTTTTAAAGAACAAAATTGTGGCAACAAGAATGAAAATTGCTAAAGAAAAATTTAAAATACTTATTGGGCGTTTATTTTTAGCTTTGAAGCTTTTTATTGCAATGATTAATTTTGTTGGTCTAAGTTTAGGTAGGTTTGTTGTTTAAATATTTTTGAAAGTGATAGGATAATTATTAGAATTTGAGTCGTATACACGAATGGCTAAAGCCTCAGCCTTTTGTACTTACAAATTAGCACATACCTAACACCCACCCCCCCCCCATGTTTTCTGCTTTTGCGGGGGGGGGGGGGGGGGGGGGGGCGTTTATTTTTAGCTTTGAAGCTTTTTATTGCAATGATTAATTTTGTTGGTCTAAGTTTAGGTAGGTTTGTTGTTTAAATATTTTTGAAAGTGATAGGATAATTATTAGAATTTGAGTCGTATACACGAATGGCTAAAGCCTCAGCCTTTTGTACTTACAAATTAGCACATACCTAACACCCACCCCCCCCCCCATGTTTTCTGCTTTTGCGGGGGGGGGGGGGGGGGGGGGGGGTAAGCCGGGTATGTCTAGCGAAGTATCCGATGTAGTGTTGTTCCCCGTCCCCGAAAGTCGTGGAATTTGAGAGTTTTTTTTTAATTCCCCGCTTCCCCCCCCCCCCCCCCCCCAAAATTATCCCCATGCCCCCCCCCCCGTCGGGGAACAACCCTAGGCCGCAGGTACGGCATAGCGCAGATAGCACTAGCCAGCCTAAAGCTTTACTACATATGCCCTCTTGTTTAATTTAAAGTTTAGAAACTAGGTATTTATTAAAAAGAAAACGGTATACCCATTCTACTTACTTTTAATGCCAAAATTTTTTTAGTTTCTATATTTATTATTATTATACTTGTTGTTTATTTAATAATTATGCCTGCATTTCTGAGTATTCTTATGATGCCAGCTTTTATTCTTTACTACTTTTTTGCAATTCCATTAAGTCTTTTAATGGTAGTCTACTTCAGCTTAATATGGTTTTCTATTGGAATGATTGTATTTTTATCAAATACACAACGCTATTTCAACAGTTTATTAGAAAGAAGTTAATCTAAAACTTTTTTCTAATTGTTATGTCCAGCATCTTCAATCTCCTGGCGTTTAGAAATCGGAACGGGTCCGTTTCCAGGTTTTCGGGTCCCTTTTCCCGTTTTTTTAAAGCAACCGGGATGAAACCGGAATAGGAATACCCGATTACGGGTCCGGGTCCCTCCCGGTCAACCTTTAGAACCCGTTTTCCTTTTCCAGGACCCGGTTCTTTCAAAATTCCGATCTCTACTGGCGTTGGGAATATAATTATTTTGGCTCTATCTTAGGACATGCGTCCCATGAACATTTATGCGTCCCATGAACATTTATGCGTCCCATGAACATTTATGCGTCCCAAAATTAATATAAACGTAAAACAATTGTGAAAACATTTTTTAATTTTAGTAATGACAATTAAATATTTTATTATAAGTTTCCTTACTCAAGGGACAATGAGCATTACATTAATATTTAACATTCATATGGGTGAACTTCTTTTCCCATCGGGCTCTTAAAACTAGCTTTACGCCACCTTCACGGAACAAATATCCGCGGATAATATCCGCGGATATCCGGATATTATCCGTATCCATGACCAGGTCTGGTTTAATGTTAATGGACAGATCCAACGATATCAAATCCAACGATATACCCTAAATCCATCAAATACCAGCTATCACTACGTGCCGAGCATTAGTCTGTATAGGTATAGATTAACCTTGGGGTAGAGGGGAGGAATTTTAGAAGAAATTGATCAAAGTACGAGTACCAATTTTGGCATTAGCTTATAATAACTGTTAAAATGACATCATGGGGATTAGCCGGGATAGTGGGCCAACTAGACTGACTGATACTGTCTTTTAATTATCATAAGCGATAACTTATATGTAACACCACTACACAACACTAATTTTAAATTGGTTTGTTCACTACTGGTTATTAACCGGTACCCCGGGTTTTCGGTTAATCTAAATTTTAAAAACCCGGTTAACGGTTTTGAGTTTTAGACAAATACCGGCTTTATTGTGGGGAAATTTTTAATAAAATCGCTCATTTTCATAAATTTCCGGTTTTCGGTTTTTAAAATTTTCTAAAAGCGGTTTTTAAAACCTAATCCCGGTTTTAAAACGGTCGTGAACAACCCTATTTCAAATCAATTTTTTCCTTTTAAAATTTTTCTAGAAAATTTATAATTTATTTGTTTAGTATACGAATCATTATTAAAAGTCGCCCCCTTTTCCTTTACTTTTTTTTCTCGTCTTTTTCTCATTTTATGTTAGAGTTGTACCCCGACCCCGTACCCCGAACCCCGACCCCGTTCCCGAACGATTTTTTCACGATTCTCCCCGACCCGAACCCCGCCCCGAAAAAAAGTGAAAACCCCGTTCCCCGACCCGAAAAGTTTCGGGGTTATCGGGGTTTTATACCCCTAAAAAATGTCATTTTTTGGAGAAAATAATGAAGAAAATTTAAAAAATTTCCACCCATTTTACTTTGCTTTTATTATTTTTGAAAGAAAAATGAATGAAATATCATAATTTTCTTTCCTTCTTTATTAAGAGACTTGTAGTTGAGTGGCTTAGTCGTTGGTTTTAGCCGATATTTCATTAATATAGGATTGGGTTCGGATCCATATAAGGAGAACTCGTCTGTTTTCATATTTCTTTACAAAAACAAATTATTAACGAGTTAAATTTTAATTTTAAAATATTAATTTTATTTATAACTGATATCCCTTGAACCTTAATCCTTCAAACCCCTTGTATCACCAGTAAGGGGGGTACTATTGACTTATAGGGGACTTTTTTTGGCTGGACCGATTTCGACAAATGATATGTCATTCGACAAATGATATGTCATTTTCGGATCCGGATATCCGGATCCGCCAACCTTATTCCCAACCATAAATATCGAGGTCCTGTTAACGGTAATCAGAGATATAAAGGGATCTGTAGGATATCGAAGAATTAAGGAGTTAAAGGGATTTAAAGGGATCTAAGGTTTAAATTAAAATAAATTTGAAAGTATTACGTGAATTTAACGGATATATGTAGATGAATTAACATGAATTTCGTGGAAGATTTAAGGATTAATCCCAGATATCTCCTGATGTCCGTCCAAATACCCTTATCCGCAAACCATCAGTATCCTTATAAATCACTAATATCCGTTGAACCAACAAAAATCACTCCAGATCACCTTGTATCCCTAGATATACCATTTAATCCCTAAAAATCCCACTTAATCCCTCCAGATCTACTTATATCCAATGTTATACACTTTAATCCCTTCAAATCCCCTCTAATTTCTCCAAATCTTACTTAATTTTTGAATAAATCAACGAAAATATAACGATTTCTAATTATTTTTGAGCATTTTTTTCTCTAAAAATTTTTCCACTAAACCCCCGTACCCCGACCCGAACCCCGGCCATATTTTGCTCCCCCGACCCGAACCCCGCCCCGAAACAATTGGAAAACCCCGTACCCCGACATACCCGCCCCCGAGCGTTCGGGGTACAACCCTATTTTATGTCAGATTAATATCATTCGAAAGAGCCCTTCGAGCTTGGTCGAATTACATTAAAATTAAAGAAATCTGGCTTAAGTGAACAAAGTTATGACCGTTTATTTTATTCCTTTGCATTGGGAAAAAAAGTTTTCCCAACGAGGAATTGGCTTAATAATTTTGGTAAGTATCCCAACTTGGGACACGCCCAAGTAGGCGCGCGGCCAGGTAGGCGCAAAGCCATAACTAGCAGGAAAATTTCTGGACTTCAACAATTTTGGTACCAATCTCTTTAGCTTGATGAGAGGAATCGTTTGATACTAAATTTGGTAATATTCGGAAATCTTAAAGCAAGTTATGGCTTTGCGCCTACCTGGCCGCGCGCCTACTTGGGCTGTACCCTCCCAACTTGGTATCATTTGACCACGCTCGAAGAGTTCTTTCGAATGATAGATATTATAACAGATTATCCAACTATTATTTTTAAAATTAATGTTTTTATTTACTTTTCATTTTATTTAATAAATTTTTGAGTAAGAAAATTAATATTTTTGTGACAGTTTGCACAAACTAAAGTAACTCTATCTTAATTTTACTGACAAATTTAGTTGCAAAAATTTTTAGAAAAAATTTTTTTTCAATCAAATAAACTGTACAAAGCACCCACAATAAATACGCAATATTTACGGAGATAAATCACAACAAATTAATTTTCTAATTATTTTTACAATCTCCTCTTCGCTTTCCCTCCAGGCACTATATTCCATCCATTTCCTAGTCTTCTTGTTCCTGTTGCTCTTTCTGGATAGCCAATCGCTTGATCCAATGGCATTCCAAGTCTGAAAATTAAAAAACAGTCAAAAAATGTTTGACTAAAAACCATATGGAAGGTTGTCAACAACATAGTGTTTCCCTCCAACAAGCGGTCTACCACACCAAGCACACTGGAAACCTTTAGAAAAAATTTTTTTTAAGGAAATTTGGAATTTTCTCAATTTTTACATTGAGCATGCCAGTATTTATTCACAGCAAAAAACATAGCGCCAAACATCCTTTGACCGCACTGAGTATTCGCACATTTTGGACGAGTTATTGCAATGAAGCATTTGATGCAATAGGGAAGGTCACTGTGGATCTAAATAAAAATAAATTTTTGAGGTTTTTGAAGAGATTACACAGTCAGATTCTCATTATATGGTACGCTCAAAAACTTGAAGCTTATGAGAGGTCTCTTAAATTGAGATGTCTCTTAAATTGGGGTGTCGCTTAAATTGAGATGTCTCTTAAATAGAGGTGTCTCTTAAATTGAGGTGTCTCTTAAATTGAGGTGTCTCTTAAATTGAGGTGTCTCTTAAATTGAGGTGTCTCTTCAATAGAAGGGGTCTCTTAAATTGGGGTCTTTTAAATGGAAGGCATATTGATTAGACATTCACCCACCCACTGGCCAACCTAAAAACGTCTCTTATCTCGAGATTTCTTCAGTTTGGGTGTAGCTTATAATGAGGTATCTGACTGTATTTTTCCTTTTTTTGCCTGATAGTCCTCTTGAAGCATCACATCACATCGATCATTGCTGCAGCGAAAATGTTGTTTGTGCCAAATCTTTCCTTGAGCGATAACAATTTCTTGGTCCACAATCACTTCCCCACATTGCTCACATTTTTCGCGATCGTCTCTGCGAACTTCGTCTGTTTCTACAACTACTTGGTCAAGATCAATGGCGGACATTTATGTTGTTGAGAAAAGTGTTGCTGTGATGAGAAAGTGATGAATTGTTGACAAGTTGGTAGTTGAAAGTTGGAATAACCAAAACCTTTTTATAGTATTTTTGAAGTTTCATATATTCTGAGCAAGTTAAGGATCATAAAATTGATAAAGTGTCGAAATCACTTTTTTGAGAAGGTTGATTTTTAGATCATAACTTTTGGTACTTTTCCGCGACCGTAAACTGAGTACCAGCCGACTTTTAACAGCTATAACTTTTTGATTCTTGATCCAATACAAATGAATTTTATATCATTCGAAAGCCCTCGATAAGCTCTATCTTTTAACAAATGTATGGATCAGCTCTTATCATTAATAAAAAGTTACAAGTCAATAATGCAAGAAATCGTTAACTTTTTTACCAATCAGTTGAGAGTTCTGATTTTTTGTTATGTTGTAATGCTTTTAATTCTCTATCCAATGGTACCAATAACATGTAGAAGTGATCATCTCTTCATGACTTATAGGGCCGGAACTCGACCTAACTGCTTGGTATTTTGTGTTTTGTTGGGTTACTATAAAAGCACTCTTATTCTTACTATAAAAGCACCCTTCTAATTAGTTACTATCACACCTCATATTCCAAAGATAAGGCCATAAACTCAATTCTCTACATTATTCTCGCTGCGTTCTAAGGCAATTTTGGGCTGCTTGTCAAGGTAACAAAAATAAATTTTAATAAATTTATCCAAAAAAATTTTTTAGATGAACACCGTTATTTGCAGAGTCAGATGGGAAGTCGAGAATTTGCAAAAGATTTGGAAGAGTCTTGAGGGCTATAATTCGTCTTCAATAATAATGACAAGTAGACAAATCTTTCAGAAAAAATATACCCTTTTTTCTTTTAAAAGGTAAACGATTTGGCAGTCCCAACTTTACCAAGGTGCAATGGGAGTTGTGTATTGAGATGAAACGTTACAAAACTTTTGCCATTTACCTTCGCCAAACAGGACCGAATGGAATGGGTGGTCTTGTAAATACACAATATGAGATTTTTATGGTCAAAAACAAAATCCGGCGTGTCTTTTCCAGGTGTTTATAAATTTAGGGAGATGTATAGTAGGGCAGCTTGGCTATAGCTATTTCTCTCCTTCAGCTAGTTCAAAAGGTTAAGCTGGTGCGAACCAGCATCTTCAGTAGACCGAACTGATGTGTTATCCATTACTCCACGCCGCCTACTGCACAGCCTTAGGAAATAAATAGCTAATGCTTTACAGTATGAGTTGAGTAAAAGTTCGGTCACTAGGACCAAAAGTCAGCATACGGTCTGCTTTTCGGTTTGTCGCTAGGCGTTCCCTTCCCCCCGCATTCATTCTGCTCTAACGACATATTGCTGCTGAAACTACCTTCCTTACAATAATATTCTAGTCAGAGATCGGGCAGAGACTAGATCTCGAACAATAATCCTTTTTTCAATTTCAGATCCACAAACAAGTTTGAAAATCAGGATAAATTGGGATATTCTAACGTTGCCGATATTCTAGAAGAAATATTTGAGAATAGTAAGAGAATTAGTTTTTAAACAAAACAAATGTGTAATGTCTTTTTTAGGTACTCTAAACCTTCAATGTAAAGTTTCTGCGGACTGGTATGCTGCAATGGATAATCTGAAATTTACATATCGTTATATGTGGGAAGAGGAATTATTTTCAGATTGTGTAATTAAGGTACATATAATCCGAAATCTCGCTATAAGGTATTCCCTCAGTCTCCGAGGCGAAAACCAGATTAAATTCATGGGTGAGGCACAGTTGGGTACATATGTAGATGTACGAAAATTCCATTTCGTGATTTTTGAAAAACAAAGTCTTGGGTTGGGTATAGCCAGGAACCATAAAATTAGATCCGGTTCCGGCCATATTTGCGGTTCCGGCAAAGCTCTACTAGGGTGTTGGAAAATCTCTCGGATTGGGTATCGGATCGAAAAAAGTTCAGGTTTCGGGTAACACGTTGATATCAATGGTATAGACGTCGTGAGATAAAGGGAGGTCCGTCGATAAGTGATACATTATTCTTATAACGTAGTGTCTTTTAAATAGAGAGTATCGCTTCCTGGGCCAGCCAAATTTTAAAAAGTGTACCTTAAATTGAGGTCCAATTTTGGGGATATCTTATAATGAGGTCCGATTGTGGCTAATACAGTCTAAAAGACACAAAATTTAATTTTTACAGGTTGCAGATAGGACCATAAAAACGCATCGTTGCATTCTAGCAAAGAACAGCAAAGTATTCCGCAAAATGTTTGAGCAGACGGAAATGATTGAGGGGGTGACTGTGTGTTTTAGTTAAAAATAAAAACTACATTAAAGAGAAAATGATTGTTTCTTTTTTGGAGGGGGGATTTATTATTTGAAATTTTTGGGTAGACTTGGCGGTAGTTTTGGGGAGGAATCCACAAAATTTGGGAAAAAAAATATTTTTTGAAAAAAAAATTAAAAATTTTAGGGAGAAGTCACAATTATCGACTTCAAACCAGAACCTGTTCAGGCAATGTTGGACTTTTTCTATACCGGCGAAGTTAATAAAGACGTGATGGAAAAGCATGTTGAGGCTATTTTTGCAATTGCACATAAATATCAAGTTTTGCCGTTGAAATATGAATGTGAGGTGTTTATGACTAACTTGATTGGTAAGGAAGAGAATTTTTTATTCCAGGAAAATTACAAAACTTGTAAAATTAAAAATAAACTTGAATTACAATTGTAAACTTGGAATATTTTTATTTTAAGAATAAACTTGGGAAAACTTGGAAACTTAAGTTTACAAGACAGAAAATATAATTACAAACTTGGAATATAAAAAATAAACTTGAACTGTAATTACAAACTCGAAATTAAAAATAAACTCGAATTACTATTATAAACTTGAATACAAGATTACAAAACGCAAACTACAAAATTAAAACTTGGAATATTTTTATTTTTAAGATTAAACTTGAAAACTTAAGTTTACATGACAAGAAAAAATAAGTACAAACTTGGAATTCATTTTAAGAATAAACTTGGGAAAACTTGTAAACTTAAGTGGAATATAAAAAATAAGCCTGAATTGTAATTACAAACTAGGAATTAAAAATAAACTTGAATTAAATTTTTCAGATGACGAAAAGATTTTGAAATATTGCGGGATGGTTCATTTCTATGATGCGCCAACACTCGAGAAGGTGAATAAATTATTATTTAGAGATTTTCTATATATTTTTAACTTTTAAAGGGATGTAAGGTCTATATTCAAATTAATAAAGAGAAATTCTTGAAAAGCAAAGGATGGGAAGAAGTTGAAGAAGTTTATCCAAAGTTGGCCATTAGAATTCTCAAATCTGTCGTCTGTGATAATATTTGTTTTTGATATTTTGTATATAGCTGGTGTATATAGTGTATTGTATATATGTATATAGTGTGTATTTATGTATGAATTGTAATAAATAAATGAATTATTCTACCAATATTACTAGAAACTCGGGTTATTTAGCCCAGTTATTCAACCGATTATTCAACCTCTAATTTATTCTGCGTGCCCTGGGTTGATTTATTGTTTTTTATTTTTATTTATTCTGACCTTTTTATTTTCTAAATTGCCAATGATATTTTATTTAAATTTTATTTATTTAAAATAATTATTTTCATTTCTCGAGTCCAGATTCCCGAGATTTTATTGAAAAATAGATTTAGATACCACATTTATATGTATTTAATAATTAAATCAAAATAAAAAACAATATTAAAAAGTTGATTATAATTAAATTTTTAGAATGATTATAATATAACAGGATTAGACTTTAATGACTTATAGCATAGGATCCTTTGAAATTTTAGGCGGATCAGATTAGCAACCGAAATATTCTACACATATTTGGACTAATTTCGGATCCGGAACCGCCAAAACGAGATTTTATTGTATTTTAAAATATATACCTATTTTGTAGAATATACAAGAAATAAAAGAAAGAAACATTAGAATTTCAAAAAAAAAGTTTGGGCAAAAATAACCGGGTAAAATACCTAATGAAGATTATTAATAAAATAAAAAACCCGGAATGTTAGGGAAAATAAAAAAATTAAATTGATATTATTATTTTAATAAAAATGGCAAAATTAATTTAAATATGTTTTTAGTGCCGTTGTTGATTACGAGAAGAAAAAGTAGAAGATCCAAAAGTTAAAGGAGGAGTGTTACAAATTGAATTTGTTGTTGTTGTAGGGCTTGTTGGGCTTAATACCTTTCAAAAAAAAATTTTTTTGTATAAGATTAATATACTAAATTTACTTTAAAATTAGATCTGTCCATTCTTGACCGAACAATATGTCGCCAAATTCGGCAAGCAATTCCTCCACTAAATATTTTTAAAGAAAATTATATTTGAAATAAAGATTGAGATTATTTTGGATATGTATAACAGGGATCTAGCCGACCCGATTCCCGAAAATAGAAAATTTTTATGCCGACTAGATCCCTGATGTAGTATAATATTTCCAAGGCAGGGTGAATAGAATGGTCAAAAAAAGGGAAGGGAGGGGGTGATCTAGTAGCTTAAAGAATTTTAAGTCAAAATTATTAGAAATCAAAAAGTTTTCAAAATTTAGTAACGAAAAAACCATTCAAAACTAAATTCCTTTATAAAATTAATTCTGACATGATTAAAGAGATTAGTCCGATAAAAGAATTCTTTGTAAAAAAATATATTTAAAGGGCCATGAAACTATTCCACTAAAAGTGAGCGCCTCCCTTCGATTCACTAAAAGTGAGAGCTACTCCTCCTGTATCCCTCCCTACACCTCCTCCCCGATTCACAACTTTTTGGCCTTCAAGTTTCCCTCTTTAAAATGTGCCCTACTAAAGAGGTGAATATTGCCAATTACAATATAGTATAACAATCAAATAAATTCACCGTATCCCCAATCGAATCAACTCTTCACGAGTGACCAATTCGAGTAAATCCCGTTTTGTATAGCATTCACTTTCAATCAACAAAATTGAAGTTAAATCACAGCCTATTCGGCGTAACCAATCACGGATCGACTCATCCCCTTCACAATCAACATCCCCGCTTAAAGGAAAATTTCGGAATTTAAAAAAATTTTTTTTTATCTACGTTGTTGTATTGGTTGTCAATGTTCCCCCACTTCCAATACCGCTATCTTCATTTAAAGAAGAAATTAACAAATTATTTTGTTCTTGTAAATGATTAGAAGAAGAAGATGCAGCAACATTACAAAATGTTCGTATACGTTCTTGACGATCAGAAAATGCTGCTTCAAGAACTCCAAGTAAACGTTTCTCGACAGCAATTAATTCATCACAAAGTCTGATAATTAAAATAAATTGTCTAAAAGAAATTTAAGAGGTTTCCCTCTCAAATAATTACCCCCTTCAACGCAAGGTTGAAACAATAACTATCCAGGGTAACTATTACGCATTTACAGCAAAGAATTCCTAAGTTTGTGGAGTTATAGTAAAGGTAATCAATTCATATTAAAGTTAATTACAATTAAAGACCGAATCGAGACGAAACATCAAACTAAATTTTCGGTTATCGAGGTTGAGATTTTTCGAGCTATCGATCTCAATTGTCGTACGAACTTATCGGTCACCAAACATTCAATACTATTTTTTTAAGTAGAAGCAGATCTCATATACTTTAGGAAATTATAAAATTATGTTAAGTATTATGGGAGATATCGCTTTAATATTCCCTTTTACACTTACAAATTAGTGGTCAATCAAGTTAAAAAAATGTACCCAAAATAGAGATTTATCTAATTGTGGGTGTAAATTAGCACCGGTTATATTTTATTGAAATTTAATTTTAAATAAATTACAATTTAATTTGTTCAGAATAAGAAGACAATGAGGAAGAAGAAGCACCTCCAGAAGGTGGGATAATTGAAGGGGAAGATTGTTGTTGTTGTTGTCGATTATTAGCATCAATGCAACAAACTGGAGGCATTTGTTGTTGAATAAAAGATTGTTGTTGTTGTTGTTGTTCAGGTATTGCTGTTTGTTGTTGCTCTTCTGGTTTTAAAAGACGTAAGGCTTGTTGAACTGCATTACGAATAAGATCGTCTAATGTAAACATCCAATGTGGCTTGATTTTTTGTAATTTTAGTAGAGGTTGAACCTTAAAGTTTGAAAAAAATTTTTCAAAATCAGTTAAAAAATTAGAAAAATTTAATGATACTTTCTGAGACCTAATTTTTAGATAGAGCCCTTGGGGCTGAAAAAAATTGCACCTTATGAATGGGGTTGCCATTTTCAAGTCCGGCCAGCGGTCGAGTCATTTTTTTCGGGCTTCACTTTTATCGAGTCGGGCCGTACGAGTCTATTTCGGGCCAAATATCTTATGCCAGACACGATCTTTCAGTCCATTTTGGCAACCCTGCTTATGAAGTTATCTTAAAAAAGGGGGTATTGCTTAAGCAGCTCTCAAATATTCGATCAAATTAGTTAAATCTAAAAATAAGTCCCAACAGTAAGGGAGAACAAGAGACAAATTCAAAATCGTAAAAAGCAACGCAAGGTCAAAAATGACCGCAAGACGCATAGCTATTACACGCGGTTCCCATGTAGTCAAAATTCTGCTTTTGTATTACTACATAACAAAAAATATAATTACAATTGCCAATCAAGTAAATTGAAAGGGCAAATTATTTTTAATTAGTCAGCCCTACCGTTGTAGGAAAAAGATAAAGTGCAATAATCAGCTGATTAATTGGCGCTCCCGGCTCTTGTCTAGGACTTAAATTTTGTTGTGAAATTGTTGAGAGTGTATTTTGTAAATGTTCGGCCGCCATTTCCCAACCACCACCGCCCTCCTTTGGCAAAATAAAGAGCTAAAAAATAAAATTCAAGTCTAAAAGTTAATAAAATCGCACGCGTAAGCCTTGTAATAATTGAGTAAGTGAAGCTTTAGAAATTATTAGCTCATCAACACCAATCTCCAAGGATAATTGCTCATGCCATTTTTCTATTATCTAAAAGGAATAAAAAATATTTTTAAAATTAGTTTTAATAGGTCCACAAAAGGTGCTACGAAACAAAAAAATTTTTGAAAATCAGACACCGAAAAACACTTAAAAAGGTCAAAATTGGAAGTACGAAGCAGTCATGCGAAGAGATCGGACTAAGCCGAGATCTCTAACTAAAATCTCATCTATCCAGTGATGCGGAAATTCCAAAATTTTGCCGGTTCCGGTTCCACTTCTGGAACCGATTCCAACCCAGTTCCAGACCTTTGCCGGTTCCACGGTTCCAGTTCCGGAACCGCATCAGTTCCGGAACTGGACCCCCCCCCCCCCCCCCATCACTACATCTATCTCCGTTATCGTATGACCATTCCAGACAGGTATTTCAAAATATTTTTAATATATCTTCAGGAATACCTGTGTTTCATGTTGCTCTAACATAAGTAACAACGTTGCACGACGTTCACCTTCCTTTTGAAGAGTGAAGAAAAAATTACACAAAGAATTTTCTTCCGGAATGCTTAAAGCTGTTGAAGGTGAAATTCCGGCAATAAAAGGCCCGGATTCTGAACCAAAAGAAGGACTGGCTGTTAAAGGAGTTTGAAAATCACGGACGGGACTAAAAAATAAAAATAATTTTTTTTAATTTTAATTAATAAAAAATAAATTTTTTTGCCTCATAATTTGATTAATAAAAAGGACGAATTAAAAAAATTATTGAGAAATAAAATTAACGAAAACACAATTTCATAAAAAAAAAAGTTTAATGAGGAGAAATTGAGTGAATAAATAAATATTGCTGTTGTTTTGCCTCACATACAAATGTGTGATGAACCTTCAATTCTAAACCTACACCCCCCCTTTATTTTTATCCTTCCCAAAAACACTGTCACGTTTAATGTTTCATGTTCTCTCAATGATTCGCAACGTTGGCAAGAGTATTTTACGTAAAAAACGAATGTTGCCCTTCAAAAAAGGTAAAAAGAGATATGAGAATAACAATCAAGAATTTACATAATTTAGAAACGTGTAATAATTTATATAAATATTTTTGATAGAAAAATATTGTGGAAAAATAATCAGGAATGCACTTAAAATAATAAAAATCAAAACAGATTTAAAAATGATTGGAATAGAAAGACAAAAAAGGATGAAAGTAGGGTTGTGAGGTTCGGAATCGACTCGAAGACCCTAGGATTTTTCAGTTTCGGAGATTTCAGAGTTCTTCGGTTTCGGATATTAAAAGATTTTCCAAGAACCTACAAATCTAGACAGAAAGAATATTTTAGAGACTGGACTGGGAGGCAGAGGTGGACGCAATTGAAAAAAATCTTCCGTAGCCATCGGCAACTCGCAATTTTAATTTTAAAATCCACAGTCGCAATCCGCAAGTCAAAAAAACACGCAATTTCACGCAATCCGCATTTGCGTCCAATATCACCTCGATAACCTAGATTTTCTTTTAAGAACCCGTCTCAATCCAGTCCCTATAATTATTAATAAAAATAAAACGAAGGTGATAAAGAATGAAAGTGATTGTTCTTCTCGATAAAGAAAAAACTGAATAAAAAGCAAAAGCAAAAATTTAAAAGCTTTATGTTTGTTGAAAATTTTCATAAAAATAATCTTTGTATTTTTAAAAATTATTATTTTTGTGGTTGGAGTTAATTTTTACTAAACAAATATTTCACAAAAAAAATTTTATATTATAGTATTGATATTTAAAAAATAAATTATATAAGGATTGTAAACACCACCAATCCTCTTAAGCGGACGGTGAAAGGAAAGAAATTAAAAAAATTTTTGTTCAATTGTTAAGAAAAAAAATGGTTTAATAAATATATTTGTATTTAGTTCAAAAATATATTATACTATTGATGTTAATATAATTTGCCAATTAAAAAAAATTAACATCATTTGAAAAAGTGAGGGAGAAAATATTTGTAAAATTATATAAGTAAATAAAGACAAAAATGATAAAAAAAGAGGAAAAGCGCGTCAAAAAGTAACAACAAAAATAATATTCTATATAATAAGAAGGAAAATACGTGGTGGTTTCAAGAGGTAAAAACAATCTTTATTAAATGTTTTGTATGGTTTTAATAAAATTATTTAATACAATCACACCTCATTAAGATATTCACTCAATACTGCTACCGACTGAGGAAGCTTCCTAACTACCTAACTTTAGGATATTTTATCATGGAGAGCTTCCCGATTGGGAAAACTCCCTAACTAACTTTTAAGTACACAACATCATCATAAAATAGAATATTCCCATCCCTAAGGTTGGAATTTTGAGATTTGCTCATACTATCGTACAGGCCTTTTTCACCTTGTACTCGTACATGCCTAATTTTTTTCTCGTTCTCGTACACAGGTACGAGTACGAATTTCGGTACGAGTTTTCAACCACTGATAGTGAGGCCCGACTGCATAAAAAATTTTTTTCCAATTGAATAACACTACCTGGTAGGTTGAGAAACGTGAGGAATAGCCAGAGGACTAGAAGGTTGTCTAGGATGAGCTGCACAAACACGCATTTGATGATGCTGATATTGTTGTTGACCACTTGCCGCACAACCAGACCCACACGTTTGTATTTGTGTAAAAGGTTGTTGTGAAGTTGCCTCTAAAGAAAGTAGTGAAGAAGAGGCTGTTGTTGATGAACTACAAAAGATACCCGATGATGGTGTTAATTTTGGGGAGACTGAAGTGGAGAAAGGAAGGGTGCAAAAACAAGTTGAAGCAGTACTAATTAATATTGGATTTGCTGCTGAAATTTTTTATTTTTTAGACTCAAAATCAATCATTTCTTTACATGAGGGTCCAGAATGTCCAAGCGATGAAGGTGTTGAAAGGCATGGTTCAATACGCAATTTTAAATTTCTTTCATGACCAAGGCGGCCAATAATACCCCCACCTCCACCACTTCCAGTACTCCTATTATTTTCTAATGTTGTCCCACAACTTCCTCTTTTTGTGGCAATCATTGGGCTAATATGAAGAGAAGTAACAGCTGTAGAAGTATTTATATTGTTGGATGTAGTAACAGGTGACAAATTTCGAAGACGATTAGGAGATGAGGATTGTTGTTGTTGGTGTTTATTGGAAGGTTTGCTGCTTCCAGTTTCTAATTGAGAAGAAAAGTTTTGAAAAAATATTTGATTTATAACCAGATATCGATGCAGAAACAGTTGCCCCAGATGCAGTCATTCCACCCATATGTGAAGCGGATCGGTAGAATTCTAAAATTATCAAATTAGGCTCCTTTTAATTATCAGTTAGGCATTTTATTTAAATTAGTCGTTAAAACTCCCCACACCTGAGGAACTACGAAAAAATATTTAAATCCGACTAGTAAAAATCTTTAACAGATAAACTTACTACTTGGATGTTTAACAGGGGGAGCTCCATCAATTCTTTTTTTGCTACTAGTTCCACGATTTCTACAATAAATTAAAAAATAATTTTCAAGAAACAAACGAATTTCCAAAATATTGTAAAATAAAAGGATCATTTAATAATTCAGCTGCTGTAGGTCGTTCAGACGGGTCTGGTTTGAAACAACTAAAAAAATAAGTCTAAAATTGATAAAGATGTTTTTTGCCTTTTAATAAAATTTGTTGCCAATTCCCCCAAATGTTCAGGTATTGGTGGATGCATTCCATGCATACCAACTTTGAAGACAGCAGCTTCAGGAATGCCCAACTATATTTTGAATAATAAATATAAATTATAAATAAAATTAAATGAGCTGACTTCAATGAATGGTGGCTTGCCAGTAACCATTTCAATTAGAGTTGCACCTGTAAATAACAAAAATTATTTAAAAAAACAAAAAAAAATTTATTTATAAATACCAAAACTCCAAATATCAGCAGCTGGTCCGTAACCCTTAAAGAAAATATCTAATTATTTTATTCTTAAAAAAATAGGCGAATGAAAACCATAAAATTCAGGCATTTTTTAATAACAAAGTGGCTAGGCTTTCGCTTATGAACACATTCAAATACAAGTTTTTCTTGTCTAAAGTAATGCGAAATGACAAAAAATCATCCAAGAGAGCTGATTTTGGTGTCACTCGACTTATGACAGCTCGACGAGCCTATCATATGTAAAATCGAATTTTTCACCCCAAAAATGAGCTTTTGACCTTTCAAGCCCAATGAATTTTTTAAATTTCAAAGAATGTCATGGTTACTTTATTAGCCTTTTCTAATGTTTCTTTTGTCATTTCGCATTTTTTTAGACATGTATTTGAATGTGTTCATAAGCGAAAGCTTTACCAAAGAAATAAAGGACAGGAAAATTAATCAATAAAAAAATTCCCCAACCCTTTGACCACCAGTAATCACTTCAGGAGCCATATATTGCAACGTTCCCTTGAACGTGTCAGTCACTGGATTTAGACCAGCAAGACGTTTGCAGGTACCAAAATCAGAAATTTTGCACAATCCAGAATAGGTGTTAACCAAAACATTTTCTCCTTTAATATCCCGATGAACAATTTTTTGAGAATGTAAATATTTCAATCCTTCAAGAATTTGACGAGCATAAATGGCCATTGTTTGAAGATTATCAAGAGGACCCCATTTTGAGCGAATTAGCGAACTTAGACTGCCTTAAAATAATTTTAAAAATGATTTACATCTCGATGTCGACCACAAACTTTTAAAAGATATTCTAGTAACTTCCTGAATACCTAACCAAAAATTTTTAATTCTTGGGATCTATTAAAAGACACTCTAAAAAAATCTAAATCTAGCCTCAAATATTTTCAACATTTACAAAATTCTAAGACTACTTTTGCAATGCAAACTTTTTTCTATGAAACGGCCAAGTAGATAACCTAAACCCAATACTAGATGCACAATATAAGCTACGTATTTATAAATTTGGCTAGTTACTGGTGGGAGGAGTTGCCAGAGTGTCCTCCCCTCTATACAAAATAAATTTTTTTAACTCCGAGGGTGTATCTTAATGTGAGGTTCGACCATAGTTTTAAAATTAATATTTATAAAGTTCAAAAATACCTCCAGGAACTTGCTCCATAAAAATGAGAAAAAAACTTCCAGATTCACGTTTATCCAATTTTGACCCCAAATACTTGACAATATTGTCATGAGACAAAGTAGAATGTAACTAAAAAATATTAAAGCTTAAAACAAAAAATTTAAATTAACCTGTATTTCTTCCATAAGAGGCTGCACCTCTTCTTCATTTTTCACTTCAATTTCTTTAACAACTATAGACCGTTGAGATGTTACATCTCTTGCTGCATAAACCTTTAATTATTTTTAAATTATTATTAAGATTCTAAGCGAAGTAGAGTTCTAGAGCCTTATAAAATGAAATCAAGAAGTAATTCTGCTAAATAATAGGGCTGGGGTTTTCAAGTCGGGCCGACGTTCAAGTCATTTTTGGGCCTCATTTTTATCGAGCCGGTCCGACCGGGTCTTTCCCGGGCCAAAGTTTGAAGCCCGACTCGATCTTTCGAACCGGGCCGGATCTGGCCCCCAACCCTACTGCTAATACAACACTTGAACGTGGGAAACGAAGTGACCGAATAACAACTGACAGGAATCGCAGGTTCGTTTCCTGCCCAGTGGATAAACCTTTGCTTGAGTTCCTTTTAATAGGACATAAGCTTTCATTGGACTCATAAACTAAACCAGAGCCCAAGAGTCAATGCAATCTTGCCGAGAGTTTTAGGATATCCAAATCTCAATTTTTATGGTAGGGGGCAAACTAATGTACTCCCAAAATAATTATTAAAAAATTCCTTACAATTCCATAAGTTCCTCGTCCCAAAACAATTTTTTCACGATTACTGTCAACTTCATATTCAAATTTGAGTGAATCAGTTTCGACACTTGCAAGAATATTACGTTCAGCCCCACCATCCATTGCAAGAATTTGAGTTATCATTCTACAATAAATCCTCTTTTTTTATCGAAAACTTTACTAAAAACTAAACCTTTGACAGTGAATTGCAGATGGAAAAGTTAAATTAAAATCATCAGAATTTTCATAAACATACAAAAACATTGATCTAAGGAGAAAAATTCGAAAAAAAAATTTTTTTTAAGAAACCTATCGTCACGTTTTGATGCACTAACAGCTTTTATATTATTCGCTTTAAATTCCCAACGATGAACACCATCAGTTAAATTAAGATCTTCACGCTTTTTCTGACTTTCTTTTAGTACGTGGTAGAGAATGATCTATAAATTAAAAAAATTTCTATAAAAGACTATATTAAGAGTTACACAATTATATGCCTACTTAAAATATCGTTATGTAGTAGATTCCAGCCCTGGCCCCTTTAGGTTCCTGACATATGATTCTTAGGGAATTTCTTGAAAAAACCAGACAAAAAACCAGACAAGGCTTCACAACTTTCCCCCCAAAACCCAGACAATGCTTCACAAAAATGTTAAAAGTTGGGGATCGCCCACACCATCAAAATGTTCAGGAAATTGGTTTTGGACTCAATCTTACAATTAGTTCCAATTTATTATTTTAATAATTTAATTTAGGGTATCACCCCTCCCCCAAAACCCAGACAAAATTTTTAAGCAAAACACCGACCCGAATCCCAAAGCCTCTACTCCGGCACCCCGAAACTCCCGCCCCCGAAGGCTCGGAGTGCTACCCAAATTTAATTTGTTGCCTTCATGGCAATATTCTAATAATAAATTAAAAAATAAACAAACATTATCCCTATTAACATTCAAATAGCTTGGAGTCAACGTTTTGTTCAATTCCTGAATAAGAACAGGGAAACGAGTACTTGTAGAAACTAATTCTTCTTCTGTCGCTTCATCATCATCCTCTTCCTCATTATCATCTGTATCTACATTTTCACGTTTTTTGGATTGATTTATTGGAGGTTTTTGAGAATCTATTGCTTCCATAAAAAATTCTGTCCAAAAAAGAAATGTCTTTTTGTCACGTTCAACTGGTGAAAGTTGCAATGTAGCAGTACACCGATTAATTAATTTAATATTTTCCATTGTAGATTTGAGAAACCAAACAGGTGGTTTCAACCTTATTTTAAATAAAAAATTTAAAAAAATATTTGGGTTGATCCCCGTTTGGAAAAGGGAGTCTAGGGGAAAATAATTTTCTTGAAGGTAGCTCCATGGGACGTGAAAGGGGGAGAAATTTCAAAAATAGTCTCAAATTCAACAGAAGGGAGTCTAGGGAGAAGGGAGTCTTGTGGAAAATAATTTTCTGGAAGGTAGCGTCATGGGACTTAAAAGGGAGGGAGGAATTTCAAAAACAGTCTCAAATATCACAACTTTCGGTAATGGGTAAGTCGAAAAATGAAAAGTCAGAAAAATATTCTTCCCAAAAATTTTTTCAAAAAAAGTCTCCCTCACATAGCCATTTTCTCAGCTGCTTGACAGGCCTTATTGTAATCCTCTGCTAACACTAAATTAAAAAAATAAATTTTAATAAGCTTCAAAATAAATTTGTTTTCTTTAAATTACCTGACACTTCAAAAAATGTAGCAACATCCCAATAATCTGTCAAATTAGCGAGTGCTCCTTTTCGGCCAAGTAAGCTATTCAAAACTAAACCAATTTGTTGTAATTCTGGAGAATTTTCAAAGGTTTCACCACGTGCTCGAAGCATTGTTGTTAAATCTTTTTTATTAAATTAAAGAGATTAATATTTTTTGAGAGTTTAAATCAAAACAAAACGCTCACAAATAAAAAATAAAAATAAAGTCTTCCTTAAAATAAAGTCTTCCTTACATGTGGGATGTACGTGGGACTTATCTGTTAGGGATGAAATTTGGTAGACAGATAGATCATACATGCCCTATTTAAGTTGGAAATTTTCACCATTTTCGCTGAATGGTACCGTGGACCGAGAGAGAGGCAACTAAGCCTCCAAAGTTTCCCTTTCCACACATAAACAATTTATATTCGTCGTTTATATTTCGTCGTTCATCCCGAAGTCCCATGAACCCCCCACAGCCTCTCCTTTGTTAGTTGTTTCGAAAGGATCAGGAGACTTAAAAGGATATCAGAAGGATTAAGGCGGATATCTGAAAAACCCCCGATATCTCCCCTAAATCGCTTAAAACAATAATTAAAAAATAAAAAATTTAAATAAATTTTTTAATCCTTACTAATTCCACTATATTCCAGCGGAGAAAGATTGAAAGCCTTTCGATACCTTGAAAAAATAATAAATTTGATTCTTCAAAAATATTAAAAAAACCATTCAATTGCTTTATCCAACGCTTGTTTATCTTCATAACCACTAGAAATAAATTTATCTTTGTAAACACGACCAGCCAAACAAATTACATCTATAAAAATATTTAAAAAATTTTAATCAATTTTGAGTTATAAAAAAAAGAAAAAAATAAAACAATTTAAGACAAGGGTAAAGCAAAAACATAAAAATATTTTTTGAAATTTTTTTAATTTTCAAAAGCTAATCGAGAACCTTGTTAATTTTAAAAATCAAAGTTCTTGCAAATATTTTTCCAAACAAATTATCTAGCTCGACACGGTTATAATAACGTCAATTTTTTTCTATTTAGAAAATAGAATCGAAATTTTTCAATTTTTTTGAATGGACAAAATAATTATTGAGACAAAACGAGGTCGAGCTGGATAGTATTAGTGTTATTCAAATGCGTTTTTACAGTATTTCGGTAAAAAAGCGATACCGAAAAACTACCGATTTTTTTTACCAAATCGACGGTACGATATCGTTAATACCGAAAACAATACCGCGGTAATATCGTACCGTGAATAACACTAGTCCTAATTAATCACTAACAATAAATCTAAAAAAATATACCAGGCGAAACCATTTGATTACCAGAAGAGTCCATAATTTGTTCGACTGTTGTGAGTGCTTTATCTCGATCCCCATTTTTATTTCTTCTATTTAAAGCAAATGCATAAAGAAAACGGACTGCCTTCAAAAAATAATTTTACGAAGAAAAATTCGAAAAATAAACCTGTGCATGTGTTATTTGTTTTTGGTCAATACGTTCCAAATCATCTATCATACCTATAATTCCATCATAGTCTTGTGTATCGCGCAAACAAAGAAGGAATTGATGAACAGTATCAACAGAGAGAACATCTTTAAAATAAATAAACTAATTTTAATTTTAAAATTATTCAAATGTGAATTCGTTTGAATGAATTCGTTTTTAGCCCTACGTTTTTTAAATCTGTTTTGTCACAATAATTATTAAATTTTGAGGGCTTCTAGAACTACTACATCAATATGCAAGCCAGTGTGTTCAGAGGATGCATTTTAAGGGAGCTAATATAAAAGTATGTGTGCCAATCAGTAATGGAAAAGTTCCAAAATTTCTTCAGCTCCAGTTCTGGAACCGCACCGGTTACGGAACTCGGACCTTTCCATCACTGGTGACAAGCCTCTTTGAATATGCATTCGTAGGAAAGTGATCCATAAGTCGGATAGGGATATGGTTGATTTTATGTTAGTATGAAGAAAATTTGTTAGATTTAATGTCCGAGCGATCCAGCGACCTTCCAGGAAGCCTAACCTTACTCTTAAACCCACACCTAACGTCTCAAATCTAGAACTAAAAATCTTCCCTACAATTATTGTAAAAATAACCTCATACTTAAAAAATTAACTAAAAATTACCAGGATTATCCAGCCTCGTCCTCATTCGTTCAAGAAATTTGCATTGTTCTCTATGCGAATCAATATCTCTAACTTTGCGTAAATCACTTAGAAATTTTTCTCTTGCATGGGCATTAGCTTCAATTGTCACATTATTTAATACTTGCTTTATTCGATCAGCAAAAGTTCCCTAAAAATTAATTTTTAAATTAAAAAAATTAAAAAAAAATACAAAAGAATCGCTCCTTCCTTTCTTCAACATCTTTTGATATTTTAATTCGTGACGTTCAAAACATCCCAATTTAGAAGAACGATCAGCGGAAAGTAAAACTGGGGGTAATGTTGAGCCACCGTCCTCTTTGGCAAGAAAATAAACAATTAAAGAACATTGGGTTAAGGTTCGCTGAAAAGATTTTGGAATTTAGAAAAATAATTTTAAAAAATAAGCTCTAGGCTAGTTTATGAGTTCAATGAAAAATTACAAGTTAAAAAAAAATTCATGAGTGTATGCGAGTATTGGACCAATGGTCGTAGCCAGGATTCTTTTCGGGAGGGAGGGCAGGTTTTAGAATTTAAACAAATAATTTAAAAAATAAGTTATGGGCTAGTTTATGAGTCCAATGAAAGATTCCGAGTCCAAAAAAGAATTCATGAGTTTATGGGAATATTGGACCCAGGGCCGGAGCCAGGATTTCTTTTCAGGGGGAGTCACTGAGGGAAATTTTTTGAATTTTGAAGGCTAATGTAAGCCAGCTTTTCCTTTTTCAAGCGAAATTTTTGAGAAAATTGGAAGGCCATAGGCCAAAAAATTCAATTTTTGCCAAATACACTCCCTAGATTTTTTCCTTTTCCCAGTTTCGAGGGGGGGGGGGGATTTCCCCTTCCCTCTACCACATGGTTACGACCCTGATTGGACTCATAAAAATCTTATTGGAGTCGTAAAGCTTATTGTTAGTTGGACTCATAAAAATTCGATGGACCCATAAACTGGACCAGAGAAAATTTCTTATAGTATTTTCAAGCTGCTTATAGGAAAAAATGATATGTAACAAAAAACCAAAAAATTAATTTAAGGAAAATTCAAAGAAAATTTATAAAAAATTTTATAAAAAAACCTTTAAGGCTTCAATCTGCATTTCACATTTTTGATCGTCAGGAATATCAGGTGGTGAACAACACATAATTATTATATTATAGGTTTGTCCCATTGACTCTCGAACACTGACAAAACAAAAAAATTATTTTTTAAGAATAAATTTGAAATATTACCCGACGTGGTAGCAAAGGCTCTGAAAAAGAAAAAAATTTTTAAGTGTTTAAAAAATTAATAAAATTAAATTTGTAAAATTAAAATGGAGAACAAACAGATTTATTCCAGAAAATCGAAAAAAGGGTAAATTCAAGCCCAAGTTCATAAAATACATAAATTTAAAAAAAACAAAAGTTCCCACTACATAAAATTAAAATAATTAGCTTATTTACTAGTAAAAAATAATAAAAATATCCAAAAGACAAATCTGACCTCTAATTTTAATTTTAAACTTAAATACTTTTCGAAATGGGGGTCGGAGCCAAAAAAGTCGAAACTAATAGGTTATCGACTACGCTCTAAACGATGGTTAATTTTTATTCAAAAATTTTTGCTGACAGTTCGGACGGTTCCCTTGTTAGAATATTTCAAAAAAAAATTTTTTCAAGTTACCGGCTGTTGATGAGTTATCGAAAAATCAATCAGTGCAATGTCAGCATTATAAAAACTATAATTTTTAAAGAAATTAATTTTTATTTTTAGAAAAAAAAACTTGTCAAGTGTTGAAGACTCTCCAAAATCTAATCGGTCAAAATCGATTAACTAGAAAAAAATTTTTTTGTTAAAATTTCAAAAATTGGTACTTTTCCGTTATGCCACACCCCCTAAATTGTTAAAAATTATAAGATTAAAAAAAGTGCTGAGTCGAGCAGTACCTCCTCTTTTTCACCGGAGATGTCTGTGGACCGAGATGTAGAGTTCGAAATGGTCAAAAAAACATAGGGTCATTTTGGGGCCCTTTTTACTTCCCTTGACCCCCACTTTTCGAAATGGGAGGTAGGGGAAGAAAAGCCGGGTACTACAATACGTTTTCGACCACGCTCTACACGATGGTATAATTTTTATTTAAAAATTTTTGGTCACAGTTCGAAGTGTTCCCTTGTCAACACCTTTTTCTATCCTATATATGATAGAGATAGGAATTTTGAAAAAACCGGGCCCGGGTACCCGACCCGTTCCGATCTCTAATATATGATATTCAGAAATTAATTTAGGGGTGTGTGGCATAACGGAAAAGTACCCTAAAATTTTTTTAAAAACCTGTAAATTAACGTTCAAAGCAGCAGAGACAGCCTCGATATCTTGACAAGCCATTTCTCGAACTTTAAGAAATTTTTGTACTTTTTTGTCAATAACCAAAACAGTTTTGAGTCTTCTAAGGGAACCCCCCAAACGTTGTTGTTCATTTGTTTGGGTTTTGGTTGTGGAAGAGGAAGTAACATTATTGTAAAATGCGGAAGATGAAGGGATTACTCGGGAAGAAGAGTCGATAGATTGGACAAAATCCATTTAAAGGAATAAATTAAATCCTGAAAAAATAATAATAAAAATTTAGAAATGGACTGTTTACAGGGAAAAATAATGAGTGTAGGTCTGGGATGGGCGAAATTAAAAAAAAATTTTTTCTGTATCACCAAGGAGTCAAAAATGAAAGTCAAAATTGGAAGTTCGAAGAAGCTCTGGTTACGTCTCGAGTAGGGTTGTTGGTTCTAAACCGAACCGAAGAACCGATGATTTTTCGGTTCCGGATATCCAAAGATTTTCCAAAAACCGACAACCCTAGTCTAAATAATTTTCATATCCGTCTCGAAACGAAACGAAATGGAAGAAAGGCGAAACAAAATTTCGTCAATTTCTGGTATGGCTGTACAAAAATACCCAAAACAACAGAAATGCCAACAAACAAACAAACAGAAAATTATTTCTCTTAAAAGCAATTTCTATATTTAATAAACCATACTAATGGCCATTAATCCAAGTAGTTAGTCCGGCGTATATGTCGTTGGGGGCAGAGGGGTCCAACCATTTAGCCCCTCCCACATTTTTAAACGACCATTCAACCATTCCGTCGTCAGAGTCCAAAGGTTTAAGGATTTCCCTTTAAGGGATAATTTGATCAAACCGGTTTGGTGCGAACTTTAAAAAAACACCTTACCATACCATTCCCCACATTTTTCACCAAATTTTATTCTAAAAATTTTCCCAAAGTTTCTAGGGTTCAATAAGTAGTTTTCAAACGATTCAATCAAGATTTCCCATATTTTTTCTTTTTAAAACTGTTTCTTAAACTTTTTTTTTAAGTTTCTTTTCTTACAATCTTATTTTATTATTTTTACCCTTTATACTTAAAAAAATACAATAATTATTAAAAAGTAGGCGGTTGAAATAGAAATAGTAAAAATCAGTCATGCAATAATTATGTTGCAAAATTATTGTTGAAAAGTGAAAATTGGTTAGAAATAGGTCATGCAAGAGAAAAACTGTAAAAATTTGTAAATTATTGTTGAAAAGTTAAAAATGGGTAAATTTTTAAAAAGTAGACGTTGGAGATAGAAATAACTTTAAAAAGTATAATCAGGTAAAAAATAGCTCATGCAAAAATTGATCAAAAAAAAATTATTAAAAAGTAGGCGTAGAAAAGTGAAAATAGACTATAATTATAAAAACAAAATATTTCTGTAATAGGAAAAATAAATAAATGAAAATAAATAAAGTTTTATAATTACCCCTCTCTATTAATTACCCACTAATAATTTAAAAAATTAAGAGTTTAAAAAATAAATTCTACAAACAACATCGTCGCATCGTTCACAACTTGCTAATTATATACCTAAAAATTTTTCTTTTTTTTTAATTTTTCTTATTATGCTAATTTTCTTTCTCGAAATATTATTTAAAATTTAAAACATTTCCTATTTAGTTAAATTATGTTAAATATATTTTTAAAATTCCTCTTCTTGACTGGAAATAAAAGAAAAAGATTATTTTATATAGGGATTTCTCTTCTTTTGACAACATCCTAAGGAATAAAAACAAAGGTATGTATTATTACGAAACTAAACATTATTACGAAACTTGCTCGCTCTTTCTTTATTCTCTTTAAATTCTTTTGCTTTTTTATGCAAAATTTCTTTTAGGCTTTTTCCCGCGACTGAAAATAATGAAATGGAATTTCAGTGAAATTCCTATTTTACAACACATCAATTATTTTATGGAATATTTTCTTAAAAAAGGATTTCACATTTCTTTCTTCATTCTTTAAAATTCTAAGAAATTTAATACTTTTGAATTAGTCTCTAATTTTGAATTTATTTTATTATTAATGTCTCCTCCACCTTCGAAGAAAGCACGACATTTCTTCATTGATAATCTATTACAGAAAGGTGATGGTGATTATGTAAAACATTTGGGTGAAGAAACTAAAATCACCCGGAAATTTAACCTTACCAAACTTTCTACTAAATTCTTAATTACGAATATCCCACCCGATCCTGAGGGTTTATTAAAAGGAATTTTCCAAGAATGCATCGACAAAACATTGGAGACGAGTCATGGTCATCAGCTTGATCCAGATCAACTTGGCTGTACAGTGAGCAGTCAATTGTTAGAATCAGATATTTGGATTCCAATACGTGAAATTTCTCCCAACACGGTGGATTCAATTCTTAATCAATTTCTAAAAGTGGCCCAATCTAAAAAACAGGATCAGGGAATGTTATGGGGTGAACCATTTACCGTTTCTGTTACAGCTATTGACAAAAAACATCTGCCTACAACACGTACTATTCAAGGAAGCGGTAAAGATTCCTCAACAAATCAACATAAAATTAAACAACACAACCTTATTAAAATTATTAATTCTGACAACTATTGTTTATTTCGATCATTGTCTGCCACCTTTATATTTTCAACATGCTCATGGCCGAAATGGAAGTTCTATGACTATATGCATAGCAGATTAGGAATGAAGAAACGTTTGGAACATGATACAACATTCTTGATGGAAAATGTAGGAGCTCCTCCTGGTCAACCTACTTATGCTGCAAATGAATGGGTACCCAAGGTGGTTGATTATTGGAATTCAAGGAATGATGGCCTGTTTAAAGTTTTTATTTTTGGAGAATTAGATGAAAAACCTATCTTTAAATATGGGGATGAAAATCACACTACTCCAATTCTTCTTTATTACAACAATAATCATTTTGATGGAGTTAGAAAGGCAGGTGATTTATTTGGAAAGCCTTATTGCCTTGCCTGTGAAAAGGTATACCACCGCCCAAAAGATCATTCTATCACCTGCACATCAAAATGTCAAAATTGCTCCAGGATCGGACCCAATTACCCATGCCAGCCTTTAGATAACTACTTCAAACATTGTTCTGGTTGTGATAAAGAATTTTACAACAATAACTGCTATGACCATCATCTCAAATCTAAATTTTGCCACAACTCTAAGAAATGTGAGAAATGTGGAGTTATATGGAATGTTGCTGTGAACAACCGGAATGGACGTACTGGTCATGTTTGTTCAGAACGTTACTGCACCACCTGCTTTAGCTTCCATGACCCTAAAAGAGGATGCTTCATCAAATCTCTAACTCAAAAAAAGCCAAAACCGTACCGGATTATCGCTTTTGACTTTGAAACCATGCAACACAGGCAAGACGAAAAAGGGAAATTACATGAAGTGAATTTTATATCTGCAAAAATCAACTGCCCCGAGTGTATTAGTAACGGATTGAATAACAACTGTAAAATTTGTGGGGAGGATCGAACTATAACCTTCTCCCACCAACCATTTTCCAACACTCAAGTCGATCAACAAAATGTTACTAATGATCCTCTGACTGATTTTGTAACCTGGATCACTAATTTTTCTACTGATACAATAGCCTTCTCTCATTTTGGAGGAAGGTTTGATATGGTCCTAGTCTTCAAGACATTGTATCTCAAAGGCCTAATCCCAGAAATGATAAAGAAAGGTAACAAAATGTATGAGATGAAGGTGAAGAACAATAAAAAATGCTGGGTCATCTTCAGAGACACATACAATCTAATGCCAATGCCGTTGGCTTCGCTAGTACCAGCCTTTGCTCTTAAAATGGAAGACAAACCTTTCTTCCCTCACCTGGCCAACAACCCAAAGAATTATGGGAAAGAAATCTTTCCGACAAAAGAAGATTACCTTGCTAATGGGATGATGCCTGAAAAGAGGGCTCAGTTCGATAAATGGTTTGACCAACATAAAAATGAGCCCTTCAACTTAAATGAACAACTAGCAGCATATTGTATCAACGATGTGGAGATCCTCATGGCTGCGCTCATTGCCTTCAGAACGGAATTTTTGGAAGTCTCCAATGGCTTGGATGTTCTTCGTGAAGCTATGACAATTGCTTCTGCCTGCATGAAGCACTTCCGCATGAATCACCTCAAAGCCAACCATTTAGGAATTGTTCCTGAAAAAGGTTACGACAACGTCGACAACCAAAGTAAAATTGCTCTCAAGTTTCTGAAATGGTATGGCGAGAAGAATAACGTTACAATTAGGACAGCACACTCAAAGAATGGGGAGAAGAAAATTGGAAATTATAAATTGGATGGATGGGTTGAGGAAAAGAAATTGGCTATTGAAGTCAATGGTTGCTGCTGGCATGGTTGTATCAAATGCTATCCTGACGACGATCTTAAGCTTCCAACAGGTCTTACAGCTGGAAAACAGCGGGAGAAGGACCAAAAACGTCTAAAATTTATTAGGAATTTGGGGGTCAAAGTGGCAGTATATTGGGAGTGTCAAATCATTGATATGGTAGCAAAAGATTATGAAATGAGGAAGATGTTTAAAAAATATCTGGATGATGGACCAATAAATATTAGAGAGGCCTTCTATGGGGGAAGAACTGGTCCCTTGAAGTTATTCCACAAGGCTGAGGATGGACAAAAAATTTCTTACTACGATGTCACCTCCCTTTACCCATTTATCAACGTCTCAACTCGATATCCTGTTGGGCATCCAGAAGTCCACGTTATCAATATGGATGTCAATTGGACCAAACCTGAAGACAACACTTACAACACTGCTCTTTTAAAATTATTCGTCATACCACCGAGAAGTATTGACGTTCCTGTTTTACCAATGAAAATTGGGGAAGACGACGATGAACGATTACTATTTCCCCTGTGTTCTACTTGTGCAAAAGAGTACCCTAAAGGTGATGTCAACGAAAACTACTGTTGTCCGCATTCAGATCAACAGCGAGGATGGGTCAGCACATGTACGTCTATTGAGATAAACGAAGCCCTCAAGGAGGGGTATGTGGTGACCAAACTCTTCAGGGTTCTGGAGTTCAAAAACTACGACGACAAGCTCTTTAACCCATACATCAATGAATTTATGGTCCAGAAAATTCACTCTTCTGGTTTTGACAACACCATCAAGGGTGACAAGAAGAAGGAAGATAAGTTTATGAAAGAGTGCCTGGAAATGTTTGGGATTAACATCGAGAGGGAGA